GCGACGGGTAGGTTAAGGGCTGAGCCTGAGAAATCCCTTGACCCCACTTCTTCTCTTTTACAGATGGAGAGGAAGCTGGTCATCAGTGAAGAGGCCCTCGAGACGGCCACCCAACTGCTGCTCGACCTGGGATTGGGTCCGGGCGCCGATCGGCTGATCGGCGACCTCCGTAGGTTCGTTCGGGCCCAGGTCGAGGTGACCGCTCGCGAGGGCCGCTCGCGCCAGCGGGTCGACGACTTCCTTCGGGAAGCCATGAGGCCCCCGGTCAGAAGGCCCGAGACCAGGGAAGCGTCCACCCAGACCGACGGTCCATCCGAAGAGGGCCGTCGGTCTCAGTCCACGCAGGACCAGGGTGTGCAGACCCAAGGGTCGAGCGTGGCAACGACGGAGAGCTCGACCCAGTGCCCCGGGCCAAGGGAGGCCTGCGGCCAGCAGCAGTGGGTCTGCAACCACCCACGGGTCCCCCAGCAAGATGGGCTTGTAAACTCCTGGAGGCACGTGAGGTTGGGCCTCCAGGAGTTAGAAAATGCCTGGGAGTTTGTCGGGGAACTCCAGCGCCAGGTACATGCACACCTGGGGGAGTTCCTCGACTTCCGCGGCGCCCAAGAAATGCTGGGGGAGTGGGCTCCGGTAGTCCGGCGGCAGAGGGCCTATGGTGAGGCCCTCCTGCGCGTTGACCGGGGGCAGGAGTCCCCAGAGGCCGCGGGCCCGCCGGCGGTGTTACCACCGGCGGCCCCGACGAGCAGGGACGCGGCCAGGACTCCGGCCAAGCCCCCGACCAAGACTCAGCCCAAGAGAGTCTCGGGGGCCCCCGATGCCGGACAGGAGTTCACGGTCCGCGTGGACGGGTCGGTTTCCGACCCTACCGTGGTGGTGCGTACCATGGGGGGACGCACATCCGCCACGGTGGGCGGCGTCACATTCATCGCTGCCCCGGCAGCAGCAGCCGCGCCGCCCCAACAACCAGCAGGAAGCCAGGGCCATGGGGCGGAGCCCGGCCTCATCAGGAGACCGGGCAAGGGCTGCTACATCTGCGGCCATCCCGGCATCACAACGACCTCCAAGTGCCCCAACAAGTCGGAGCACTGGCGCTACCCCAGACACAAGGCGCCAGGGGGCTCCGGCAGGTGACGTGGGGGAGTGGTGGCCCGAGATGGGCAAATAAAGCCGTGTTTCAAAGAGGATGGATTGTGCTGATTTCTCTCCTTTCCCAATCCTGTCCTTGGGGTCGCGAGTCAATGGGGTAGTTCGATCCGGTAGTTCGAAGCTAGGAGGGGGCTGCAACGATTACCAAAAATCGTAGACTCGCGCGAGGTTAGCGAGCGGCTAAGCGAGAGGAGCCGCGTTCGGTCCGTGAGAGAGAGAGAGAGCGTAAGGGGCAATGACCGGGAGGGGAGGCTCCGACCGGCAGTATGACTGTGCCACTCAGTCAGTTCGTGCCGATCTAACCTCCATTTTCCCGAGCCGTTCAAGTTTTGTGTTTTTCTGGTGACATTGCGAACGTGAGTGCGTGGGTGCGTTAGCAGCAGCAATAGCGGCAGCAGCAGCGATAGCAGCAGCAATATCGGCGGCAGCCCTAGCAGCAACAGCAGCATTAGCGACAGCAGCAACAACAACAGCAGCAATAGTAATCGAGGCGGTGCAGCAAGCAGCGGAGCAGCTTATTAGCAGCGTGTTGATCGGATACGGTTGGCCACCGTATCCTCATCGTTCTTGCGGTAGGTGCACCTTTTCCCCCTTTTTGTTATTGTAATTTGCGTGCGATCCCGCGCAGCGTGCGCGAGGAAGATTAGTTGTTGCGTGCGGGCGGTTAGTTCGCGGCATTCGTGGTTTTCTCTCTCTCTCATTTTCGGCGTGTGTTGTCATTCACGCGTGCGTGCGTAAGTCTCTTGGCCAATTCCCCGTGTAAATTAGTTACCTCAATAAAGTGCATCTTTATCGTTATTTTCGAGTTAGATAGTCGTTATTTAGTCTTTCCTTTGTCCGGAGGTCGCGCCAGTGTTTATTTTCAGTGGATTCGAATTCGCCGGTTGCGTAGCACGAATCGTGCGATTATCGATAGACGCGAGTCGACGGCTTAGGTTCCAGCGGCGGCCGCACGAGCGCTACTAGTAAGGGGCGACAGCGCCGCCAAGCGGTGAGTTGGGGGAACCCAACTCGGGACAGCGAAGAGACTCTGCGCAGGCGCACTCCGAGGCAAGGTAGGCTACTGTGCTTTGAGCACATAGATAGCAAGGCGTCGTTTAGTCGCAATTAAAGGTACGTTTGCATGATTATAGACTAAACGGCAGCCTGTTACAAAGTTTGCAATGCCGATTTCTGGTATACATGATTTAACATCAGCTACAAAAGCATCAGCATTAGTTTGTAGTTCTTCTTTACTTTCTAATGTTTTTTTGGTGATAAATATATTTTTCTAAATACTATTCTATGAGCTTTTTTAAATTTTTGTAACCAATTTTGAGAAGCCTTAAATCTTATATCTTCATGGCCAACAATTTTTTGAGCTTGCAATGCCCATTTCCGTATATCTCGATCATGCACTATCGTACCAGCTGCAATAGCGGCTTTTAAATTATCAAACGTGTATTGGCAAATTTGCGCAATTTTTTCTCGATAAGTTCCATTTTTATTAATTGTTTTCGCCCAAAGTTTAAGTTGACTTATAGATGAAACTTTTTTGAATCTATGTTGTACAGTATCCAGTTTCAAGTTTTTTTTTTCCGCTTCTCCAAAATTTGTTTATAATCAAATGTGATTTCTTCATCATCATTTGTGCACTGATTTGTTGGTGCAAAATCAGGATCAGGAAATGATGTTGAACTTCATCTTTGATTATTTTAGCATCAGTATCTTTATAATCTTCATGAAAATCTAACGTCTCTTCAACAATTATATCAATATCATTAAACTCATACACGGCATCTATTAATATTTCTTTCAACTTTTCTAACAATGTAATTTCTTTGAAATTAATCTCGCTATCTGGTATTTTGAAAATATGCTAATAATAAATTGACTACGTTCAAAGGATTGATCTTCATATTTTAATCTAAAACAAAATCAAGCTATAAATATTCTTTTTTGCAGTTGAATAATTTTACAAAAGACAAAAGAAAACCTAGTCTATAGATAGAATTCGATCATACGTTTTTAACAGTTACATTTCACATGTTTACAAATCAAAATATTTGAATAAAATTATGTATGATAAGTGACATAAATACTTACGTAGTAGACAAAAACTTTTCTTCTTGTTATGTACTATATTTTCGTATTCGAGAAATTTTTATGGAAATATAGAATAAGTTTATTTATAAATCCAGCACTATAAAAAAACTTTAACTTTTCAAATACTTCACTTTTCTTCAACTACTATGAATAATGAAATATGTATCGGATTTCTTATTATCGTAAGGGGCGTAGATTTGATATAACTTATCTTCTTCGAGCCATTGATAAGAGAAAATTGTAAATAAGATAAAGTGTACAGCAAAGTAAAGTACCAACAAAAAGTAAACTAAACCAAAAGTGAAAATTTAAAAAAGTAAACAGTTTAGAAGTATAGGAATTGAGACTATAATAACTATTTAAAACTATTAATATGATCAATTATTTGTTATAATTTCGTTTCTCATTGACATATTGTAAATGATTAAAAAATAAATAATAACTATATTAAACTTCCACTTTTGAAATTAATAATTTTTAACTGTTATTACTTGTTATTTTTCTTTATTACGAATTATCTTTACGTTTAAAAAATAATAACTATTATTATTACTCTTTTATACACAGCTATATGTAATACAATGCAAATAATATAAAAAAAAACTGATACTATAACTGTTATTATTAATTTCGAAAAAACAAAATAGTTAATAATTATTTATAATTTATTTTAGTCTCAAATCTTATATATATAAGCCGTTATTAATTATTTTGATCTTTTTTCTATTTATAATGAAAAGAAAATAATTATTACATAAAATTTGTAATACTTGGGACATATTGTTAGTCAACATGAATGGTATTTATATAAGGTTAGCCCGCATGTGGTTCGGTAAGGGTGGTTTATAAGGGTTGGGGTTAGATAGGTTAGGGGTAGGTGGATAAGAGGTAGGTGATTTAGCTGAGATAACTCGCTTATGGTGTAAAATTCAATTATTTCTAAAAAAACGACTAAAGTTGCTTTTCCCAGGATTAGGTGGGTTAGCTTGCATGTGGTTCGGTAAGGGTGGTTTATGGGGGTTTGGTGGGCTAGAGGCAGGTTGGTTAGTTGAGGTAGCTCGCTCATGCATAGGATTAAATTATTTCAAGAAATAACAAATGACTAAACTTATTTATCCCAGGGTTAGGTGGATTAACCTGCTTATAGTTTGACGGGGATGGTTTCTAGGGGGTGAAACACCCCTTAAACATTTTTTTTTAAAATCCGAAAACACGTCAATTTAATTTTGGTATTTTCTCATTATCAGTGCGATTTTTAAATCACTCGAGCTGGTTTACTATATTACATGTCGTAAAACAGTACAAAAAATAGTGTATTTACCCCTATTAAAAAGGGGGTTGCAACCCATCGGTATAAGTGTTATGTCCTTAAAAGCTCCTTTTTATAAGAAATTTTTTAACGTTGAGTTTACTGTAAAATATTCATTTGATGCTGAGAAATATTAAAAAAACTGATTTTAGGGGTTGATTTTCAGGATGGATTTCACCCCTTAAAAGCCCTTATGGGCCGATAAAAAAATAACTCATCTAATTTTTTTTCAAGTTCTACAACATATCCCAAAATCATTCAAATCGGGTGAGGTCGGGTTGGGGTAGTTTCCTTGTGAGTGATACAGAATAGTCTGTTTTTTAACTTTAATTCGAAAGTGTCATTGCTGGGAATGATATAATTTATAAATATTGCGTAGTATCTAATCTGGAAAAACACAGATACATGCTTATGATTAAGATATAAATATGTCTTAATTAAGATATATTTTATATTTTAGGTCGATAAACTATGGAAACAACATTAGAATTACCTCTTGGAAGAGACATGAAACAAATCAAAGTTGATAACTGGGGAACATTTTTTTTACAAAAATTATTACAATTATACGTTAACGAAGAATTACTAGATTTACATATAAAATTTCATCAAAGCAAGCACATTGTCAAAGTAAGTAAAACATTTTTCCTTTTTATTTAAATTCGCAAATCTAGTTATCTATTAGTCTTTGCCAAAAATTTTTGTTTTACTTATTCTTGACGTACTTTGAGAATAAGATCATCCTGTAGCTAAAGGATTTTTTTATGTATATAATAAACTTTTTCTTGAAGTATGTGATTTAAAATATAGAACCAGCTATTATACATTAAAAAACTATTCAATTCTTGCGTAACTACGATTTTTAAAAAAGTGAAAAATCGAATTGCTTAATGAGAAAGATATAATTTGTTCGCTAGTTTCAATACAATTTTTTAACGAGTTTTCAAAAACTTTTGCAATGTTACAAAAGCAATACAAATATTACAAATAAAGTCATGTTAATATAATATTTTATAAATTTTTAATTATTTGTATGTTAATAACTTATTGTTATTGGACTAAAGTTAATGTCATCAGTTAAAAGGTATACAGCCGATTCATCTAATTGTAAACAATGATGGAAAAGTTAGTTTTCAGTTATGTGCTGTTGTACTCTGCAACGTGCTACTGCACTCTACAACATTATACACCTGTATTTAATAATGTTTCAGAATTTTCTACTGAAGATCTATGGGCGGCTGCCCTTGGATCTCTTTGTAGGTACACTGCCGTCGCGAATAGGATCTACCGAGAAGGTTGCTGAAGAATCGCTGGTTATGAGAGCAAAGAATGCTCAATAAGTCGCACTTATGCCGAAGTACCACTTTTCACAGCCACTAGTTTACATAAACATACTTTATTGAAATGACGTGCACCTTCACCAAAAACAGAGAAACGCTTCAAAAGTATGCTGTGATCTAAAACAAGGAATCCCTTAGTAGCGCACATAAACGTGTATGTCTCGTAATTCGATATCAGCTATACTGTTTCGGTGCCCTTCACCTCTTTATAGTCACGCCTTAGGTTGCCTTTCTCCCACTCATTCACTCTTTCTCTGTCTGCCTGTCTGTCTGTTGTCTATTTCTCGTTATTTCAATTTTAACTTATTACTTTTAAGTCTTATTTGGTCTTGTGTAACAGTTAAACTTTAAATTAAATATATGAAAATAATATAAACAATTTATATTATCACATCTTATTTTTTACATCTTTTAATGTGTGCAGTTTAATTTTTTATACATTATTATTACCCTTACCTTTTAGTTATATTTAATCAAGTAATTTTCAAACGATGCGATTATCTAGTTGCAAATAACGTAGAACTAATACAAATCTACGTTATATTTTGAACTTATTAGACAGGATGTTGTTCCACGGCGTAATAACCATCACACGTATAACTTTTGGCGTGTTTTTAAAATTTTACTTTTCCCTTTTTTCAATATTTATGTATATAACCAATTATCACTTTAATTGTGTAATAATCTTTTTAGTTTGTTAATCTCAAAATTTCGTGTTTTTTTTCTTCTGATCGCTATTAAGCTATATTTAATTAAGGTAGACCGACCGGTGATAAATCAATTGACGCATAAAACGAAAAGCTTTAACGCTAATTTTTCTATGTGACTGTGTGATTTTTGTTACAGAACTAGACTTTCGGAAAGTAAGAAGCCTATCATTCTTTCATTGATAGTAGTACGTAATATCTAAGAGCTGGCGTTGACCACTTTTAACCTTTTCGCTCCGAGACTGGTCCATATATGGACCAACAAGAAAAGTGAACGTAATAGATGTTTATAAGGTCAATTTAATGCATTAAATTTAGGAAAATATTGAAAAAATCCTGGTTACTTCTTTGACCTTCAGAATTAACTTTGAAGGTCAAACAATGAAAATGCGTATTTGCACTTGAAAATTGGTATACCTACGTTTTATGAGTCGCTGAATACGATAAAATTAGTAAAAAAATTCTAGTGATATCTTTGACCTTGAAGTTTGAAGGTTAAACAAAGTTTAAGGTCAAAAAGGTGACTAGAACTTTTTTTACTATTTTTATCGTATTTAGCGGTTTATAAAACATAGGCATACCAATTTTCAAGCTTAAACGCATTTTCATTATTCGACCTTCAAAGTTCAAGGTCAAATATGAATCTGACATTTTTTTCACTATTTTTATTGTAATCAGCACATTATAAAATATTTAAAAGCGCTCTTAAACTTTCACTTGTAATTTTTTACATTAGCCTTAACTTTCTCTCCGGGACTGGTCCGTATATGGACCAGCACTCCGTGTGGCGACTTGACATAAGAAGTTCATTCACGTAAGTCTTAAAATTGAGCTAAAATGCGAGGTAAATTCTAAAGGAAAAATCCCAAGCGAAAAGGTTAAACCAATCAAGCTTCTGAGGCCTCTTCAAATTATTTACGTGATAACTTAGCTATATTAATCGATGATTATGAACAAATAGCTTATGGCGTTTTTCTTCAATACAATGACACTGATTATGACACTGCACGGACTATTGTTGGATTGTTTGGAACTGGTGTTGGTTGTGGTATGCCTAGCATTCACTACACCTGTTCGTGAAATTCTTCGTTGGTGGGGTAAAAAATACTTCTCGTATTATTCAATCGAGCCCACAAATCCAAGGTGGCCAGCCTCGAACTAGTGCGCTTGTATTTCAAACTGGAAGCACCATGTTATGTCATAAAGTATTGAAACTCATTTACTTGATCAAGGATGAAACGGTAATGAATGTTTTCAAATTTGGGGGTAATATCCATATTTATATCCCTGCTCTTTGGCCTAAGACCGTACATGATCTATATATGATGGCATTGGAGTGTAGTAAGGAAATTAGTTACGCTAGATCCAGAGTGAGAAACTTATAAGGATTTATCTATAAACTTGATTATTCGTGTTGGTAACAGAGTAAAGTGCAATAACGCTCCTAGTTGTACCGACGGTGCTGACATATTTGACTTGATTGGAAATAAACAATGTCGAGAAACTGATCAATCTCAATGTCATATTACATTATTTTTCAGCGTTGTTCATATCAATATAAATAGGTTTGATTCGTTTGCATACTTTGCACTCCTGCTAGCTTGGTTGATTGAAGAATATTTCAATACTTCTTACTCAAACATTCTTGACCAAAACTTTTCCACATAATCACTTATGTATAACCGGTTTTAACTTTTTCCGTCTGGACTATGATGGAGAGGAAAGGTGTAGTTATCTATGTGCGTGATTTTTACACAGTTAAATTCTAAGTTACTTCCGATCCTGAATTTGATAATACCCTTTAATTTATTATTGCAGGAATTAAGCGTGAAAAATCAAATCTTGTTATATACCTCAGCTCATCTGCATCTTCTTTTTATTTTTTCAACGATATTTCTGCTTACGTGCTATTTCATCATAATGTCATTATCACCGGTGACTTTAACGTTAATCTCTCCTCCACCACCTTGTATGAAGCTTCTCACTTTGATTGATTGTAATGCTTGTAATGCTCTTTTCAATATTTCTCTTGAGCCTATTCACTATTGTCTCCGACAGAGATCCCTCGTCTCACACAACCCTTAACCTGTTGTAAACGATTCCGATTCTGTAGAAAATTTTTCTAACTCATATATTCCGTTTATTGCCGGAGACCACATTATTAGTATACGATTTGTTGTTGTTACGAGACAGATCACAGTCATCATGAGATTTCTTCCACTCTTTAACTAAATTCTATTGACATAGCGTTTTTTTTCTTTATATTTTTTGTACAGGTCTGATAATTCTCATTTAGATCTAGATATTTCCCCACCTTAGTTAGATAATATTGAAAGGGCGATTACGTCTGTAATAATGGTTAGATATTATGCCGTTGTGCTACTTATAATTAGAAAAGTAGTACTGTCAAACAGACACAAGCGATGGGTTACAGCTCAGATACGTACCCTTATGAGATCTTGTGAACAGAAATGCCGAGTTGACTAATAACGGTAATGACTAATATCTATGTATATTTGCTAATTACAAAAGTCTGTGTTTTGATGTAAGTAACAAATTCTCTACTTGATGATCTTGACACTGCAGATGATACAAGAACTAAATGGAGACAAATTTCATACCACTGGAGTCAACTAAACAAGTCTTGCTGCGACAGCAACCTACTATACAAGCATAATGCTTTTGTCTTATATCGATATCCACCTCTAACCTACTCTAACTTTAAATCCATTTTAACAACGCAAACCATACAAACTAACTCACCAAAATAAGTTTTCCCACATTAACGAATCTCCAATGCCTCTATTCGTTCAAGTACTTCTCCTTCTTTGTGTAAAAAACGAAAATTCGCCCACTGTTTAAAGATCGCAATCCTTCCTTACCATCTAATACTTCTACGTGGTCTGTTCAAAAAGTACCATGAATTTTGTATTTTTTCATAAAAAGTATTTATTTATTTATGAATATCTTGTTTCTTTCCTTCAAAATAATTCCCTTCGGATGTAATATACTTAAGCCAGCGCTTTTTTCAATCCTCGAAGCACTTAAAAAATCATTTTGTGTTCTTGTTTAGCTCTTCCTTTGACTCCATCTTTATCTCCTCAATCGTAGCGTAGCATCATACTTTCATGGGCCTCTTCCGTTTTAAGAACAGAAAAAAGTCTCAGCGGACCAGATCTGGAGAATATCGTGGCTGCTACATCATTACTACATTGTTTTTGGTCAAACGTTCGCGCATAGGCAACGATGTGTAAGCATGGGCATTATCATTGTGCAAAATCCAGTTTTTGTTCTTTCACAAATCCGGGCGTTTATGGTACATTGTTTAGCGCAAATCGCGCATAACTTTCAGGTAATATCTCTTATTGACCGTACTACCCTATGGCAAGAATTCATGTGCCACGCCCCTGCAATCGAAGAAACTGTAAGCAAAACCTTCACGTTCGACCGTACTTGGCGCTCTTTTTTCGGTCTTGGCTCATATGGCAGCTTCCATTGGGATGATTGAGCTTTGGTTTCTATCCATGATTCGTCACCAGTTATGACCTTCTGGAATACATTTAGGTCGGTACGGACCGTGTCC